TGTCCGGTGGTGTGCTTTCATTTTGGCTAAGGGTGATGTTGTGAGCGTTTGGACCTGTGGCAGGATTTTGCAGGTTTTCGTCGTGTTGAGGTTTTGGTCCGTGGCTGAGGCGTGCTTAGTAGTATTTTAGCAGAACACATAGAGCATGAAGAGCTGAATCACTAGCAGTCTGTTTAATACGCATATCAGTGTTATTTCCTGTCTCTCTTCAAAGTGTGAAGTAATGTCATAGATCTGAGAGGAACATGTTTGATGGACCAACACAAAACGTAGCCCGAGAACTGTGCTGGATCCAAAGGGTGTCCTCCAGTACACTACGATAATAGCCCAAGGTGGGAAAAGTCGCTGAGACTACTCTTTGACTTTTACCTGCAGAAGAGTTCCCACGAGGCAGCTTTCAACTAGCATAGGTTAATTATATGTGACGTTACAGTTAACTGAAGGAATTGAACGCAGCGGAAGAGCCTGTGCCTGTAGTACAAGCGGATTTAAGGGAAACTGGTATAAACTACAGTGTAAGTTTAGACCAATGGAGTTATTGTGGGAGAAGCAGTTATGTGGACATGGCTTGTGTGCAGTTTTGGTTATGCCATTTGAGAGGAGTTGGAAGCAAAACTAAAAGAAGTTGCTCTCAGAATAAAAGCATCAATTTTTTTTTTTAACCAGGAAGGCTGGCTTTGATTTAAAATATTAGTTAAATCTTTATGAGCCAAGCCAAAAGATCCTGATGTGTCAGCACTATTCTACATCTGATTTAATGATTAGAGAAGGTTGATCCTCAGCTTTTTGTATACGTAAGCTACCAGAAAAATACATTTTGCTAGGCCAAGGGTTGTGGGATTAGGTTCCTGTATAATAAATCTTACAATAGTTTTCGTAAATGAGGGTGGTGACTAGTATAGAATCTGCCTCAACGCTGGCTGTTGTTATTTTATAAGTAAATGTGCTGGGGAAGAGTGTAAAAGCTAGCTCCAAAGTGGATTATTGCACTTTGGGGCTACCTTACTAGCCGCATCCTCGTTTATGTGATTGTCTTCTGCATCTTCTGGCAGAGCTGAGGGGTCTTGCAATCCGCTTCCATTTTCAGGCTTATTCACTGCAATAGAAGTGGGATAAAGCATCGCTATTACACTTGAAAATCAGGCTCTACAGAGTTTCGGAGGTAGTGAGACTACCAAGGGCTGCTTCATATTATGCCTTTTTAGTTTTCTGCTTAAGTAGTTTTGTCTGCATCTGTATTAAGAGTATTTTATTGGTGCAAGGATGCTAGCCTATTTCAGGGGTAATGCATCTCTGGCATGGACAATGTATAGAAGACTCTTCTATATCCTCACACACCTCTATGTTTCTGTGGAATGAAATTAATTATTCTAGCAAATTCCCATTTATGGTGAGCCCGTATATGAATGTGTGCGTTAGGGGTGTGAGCCAGATATGTCTGAAAGGGGATCATCAATCTTCACGTTTCTGTCTGATGCAAATACGCTGGGAGAGGTACATAGTCAACAAGGACTTTGTTGGTACTTCTGTGAATTAACACGTGTAAAATTAGAGTAACATAGGGTTGAATCGGAGCTGTGCTAATACTTGTATATCTTGTATGAAATACCAGTATTTTCAAGATAAAGATCTGATTTTCCGTTTCCCTGAACCCCGGGGCATGATTCTTCCTGTGTGCGTTACCAAGAGCAATTTAAGAAGCTGCAACTTCTCAGTGGGATGCAGTGCAAAGTCAGGCCAGTGTTCATCCAGCTATTGTGAGCAGTTGCGGAATATTTTTGTTGTAGTGGAAGTTTCTTCTAACACTTCTTAGCTAACAGTTACGTAATGTTTCACGCATGAATATGTTCTCACCAGTTTTGTAACCTGTTGATTCGGTAATATCTTGTAGCAGTGAGCTCCATAATTATCTGCATTTAATGTGCTGCCTTTCAATATCATTGACTCTGTCCTTGTTTATGTATTAGGAGAGACAGTAGTTAGTGAAATATCCAAGTACAGCTTAGTTGCTCTTAAGTGTAATAGTGAAGTTTATTATAAGACAGTGCAAATACCAACTATTTTTTAAGCTTAGGCAAAGCCTGGAAAAGTTCTAAGTCAAATTTTGCTTCTTTGTAGGTTATGTTCTAATTAAATATTTGACATTATAGGAGACAGTCTTTACGAGTCCCAAGATACTAATGAAATGTCAGTTGAATCCTGTTTCCTTCCTTCAAAGCAATGTGCACTATTCCATTTGCTACAATACCGGGAAATCTTTAAGAATTGAAGAGTCATTTAACTTTTTATTCTCCGTAATCAAGAGTTTATTTCATATTCAAGGTAGATCGCTTGGAAAAATGCTGAACATGACAGAAGTACAGGCATATAAAATCAGAATGAGGTCCACTGGGAAAACGCCAGATGATCATGAAATACAGGAAAGCGTAGAGAATTTGTAGAATAGGTAGTTACCTATAAGGATTTTTTTTTTATAGGAGCTACTCATGTTAGTGAAAGCAAAAAGAACTTCATTTGTATTGAATATTTATTTAGCTTGTTGAAGTAATATTTTGGAGGTTTCAGATTTGTCTTCTCTACGAGCTTAAATTCACATCTTCCTTGTATCTTTGACGCAGTGAGCTGCCGTCTTTGATTACAGCCATATATGGTTTTTTGTGTTCTTTAGCAGACGTATACGTGCAGTAAATGCCATTATGCTACGTATCTAATTTATGACTTTTTAGCAATTACGGTAAGTCTACTGGCCTCTCAGATCAGAATTAAAATAATTTAGATATAATTAAAATATGCCAATATTAATCAAGTTACTGATGAAACGCATATGAGCTCATTCAGTTTCTCTTTTCACTAGCTTTTTTTGGCTATTTTTATTTTTAATGTAGCATGCAGGCTGTTGCTAATTAGAGTGGCACTCTGGAGGTGGTCTCTATGAAAGCTAAATGGAGAGAATAGGGTGAAGAAAGGGAGGGCGGCAAAAACTTGGAGAAGTAGAAGTGTCAGACTGGGAGGTGATTAAAAGCTTTGCACACAGAGTGGGTTTTATCTTTCATATTAGACAAGTAATGGCAAAACCTTTCCAGGTCATGTGCAAAACTTCTGACGTGAGTTGAATCCTGTGCTGAGGTATGCTTCTGTGTTGGGTACAGGCACAGGGCCTCTCTTGGGAGAGGCTCTACTTTCTCTCCTGTTTCCAGTGCAGCGCTCCAGCTTGGCTCCAGCTTAAGAAATCTGGCACGGGAGTTGATGAACTGCAGCACGGCGCTGGGAGTGCGTGCATTTCCAATTCTGCAGCAGGTTAGTAGGAGAGGTGCCATTGACAATACCATCATGCGCCAGTTCTGGCATGTTTGCCCTGGCTTTTCTCTCGTAGAGGAAGAATGTTATTGGTACCTGTGTGTGTTATTGTTATCAGATTTCTAAAGGCTTATTTATTTTGGATATGTCTGTAATATGCAGAATTCTACTTACAGTTCATATGCTGTATGGTCAAATGGATATACACGTATGTGTATAAATATTTTCATATATATGTATATTTTCAAACATATTTTGTGCTATTACGCAGAACTTCCAGAGATGTTAAGGAGGCAGGATTTGAACTTGCACAACGTAGTCCCAGGGCAGATAACTATTGTCCAGATACTTGGCAGTCATGATTCTGGAGGTTTTTAGGTCTTATCTGGGCAGATATGAAAAGGCTGCTCCCTGCGGCAGCAATATATAGCAATGTAATAGAAAACAAGTCTTAAATGAATGATAAATTGAATCTTTATTAAACCCATTCTTGCATATGGGGACCATCCTATGAAGTTGTACAGCAAGCTACCTTCCATAGGTGTCTAAATGAAACCTGATTCATCCCCTGTGATGGCATGATTTGCACTGCCAGGCGTGGAGATGTGCTCTCTCTGCCCGGTGGAGGTAAGAGCATCTTTCTTTTATGTCCTTGCTCTTGTCTCTGGTTTGACCTACCTCTAGATTCTCAGCAAATGCTTTGGAGTTGATGTTGTCAAGTGGCATGTACTGCTCTCTTGGCCAAAGTAATTCAGTACATTGCATGGCAAAGTAATACTTAAAAATAGGTTGTTTGGTTTTTGTTTTTTTTTTTTTTCCTGTAAGAGGAGGTGATTTAGCCCATGGTATTTGTACATGCAAATATTTTGGCATTAGAAACTACTTGGGAATTTAATTTAGAAAACCCTTAGAAGTAACTAATAAGAAAATTCTGCTTTTTAAGATTTTCCATCCAGAGTTCAAAGAAAAGTCAAAGGAAGTTAGAGATCATATGTCTTTTATTTTTTCTGGGGTCAACTACAGGAAGTTGTATAGCTGCATTTTAAACCACATTCAATTTTCTTTAAGTATAGATACTTCTTCATTCAGTTGCTTTTAACAAATGGTATTCTGGAGCAGTGTGTGTTTGCGTGATCTGAGATGCCACTCAAAGTAGCGCGTTTTCGTATTGAATGCTTCGTGCTCCTTCTCTGAGATTGTTTGCAGAAGAACTCATTTTGAGGTCAGAAAGTAAGGTAGCTGATCTGCTTGGTATGTTAGGTGACCTGTGAAGCAGTGCTGTTTGATCAGGGTGAAATATGTGAAAGGCTTTATTACATTTTTCATAAATATTTTAAAGAATTTGAACTTGGAGCAGCCAGCTTGTTTCAGTCATCAATGGATGCTAATATTTTAGCTAAAATATTTTCCTTTAAAATATTTTGATGAGAGAAGAAATGGATTACTTTGCAGGTTTTCTGTATTAATTTGCAAGCTTCCTTCTCCTTAAGATGTGGTTTTGCCATCTTTTCTCATGCAAAATTTGCTTTGACTTCAGTGGTTTTAAGATCTACTTTGTGGAAAATTTCTTACAAAGAAAAGAATATTAGCCACACTATTAGCATTCTTGTTTATATTACAGTATTGTGCAGGCGATATTTGGTGTCCCCAAAATCACGCCCTGGCTCATAATCCCTTATTCTGAGGGAGGGGAAGTGGATGAATGTATATTGTGATAAAATGTGATGTTGAAGAGGAGTCAGTGGTGCGCCTTTGCAGCGATGGAGGCTTATGGCACAGTGAGCTGCTTGAGCAAGAGCGTAGCTTGAGGTTGAGGGTAGCGATTATTCCCCTCTGCGTGGTGGGTCCTGGAACGCCATGTCCAGTGCTGGGCTCCCAGTACGTGAGAGCTCTGGGCAACCTGGGGAAAGCCCCGAGGAGGGCTGCTCAGGTGGTTGGGAGATGGAGTACATGGCATACAAGGAGAGCTGAGCAACTCGAGTTTGCTTGGCCTGAAGAAGAGGAGATGAAGTTAAATTGCTGTCTTCAGTTTCCTGAAGAACTATAATGGAGAAGAGAGAGAGAGAGACTCTTCTCAAAGGTGTACAGTGAAAGGACAAGAGGCAACTGTCGCAAGTTGAAAGGGGGAATTCTAATTGGGCATTAGGGGGGAAAAAAATAACAAAATGGTTAAGCTCTGGACCAGGGGTCTGGGGAGGTTGTGGGATCTCTGTTCTTTGAGATTTTCAAAACTTGACAAGGCTCTGAACAACTTGATCTAACTTTGAAGTTAGTGTTGCTTCGATCAGGGAGTTGGATTAGGTGACCTCTGGAGGTCCTTTCCAACCTAAATTACTTGGATTCTGTAAGAAGACTTCCTTTGGAATTTGCCGCTTCCCACAGAGTTCTGCCAAGTAATTCTTTCTAAGTATCTTCTTGGTTCTTTGATTGCAGGTTCAGAGAAGTCTTTTGTGTAGCACCCAGGTCCAACATAATTTAAAATAGGAACAGTTCAGTTAAGGACCGTGTCCAAAGGGAACAACTTTAAACTGCCTATGAGGTAAAGTGCTTCTACAGCCCTGCTATGATTAGTTGCGGTCTTGCTGCCATGAGTTGAGAATACAAACACATGGACGAATACCTTTAAAACATTTCAAGTCATAGTCTTCACTGATTCAACCCTAGTCAGTGTAGGTGAGTTCTTTCCAATTCTGGGAAAGTATGTAACACATACTTTATTTGAAATGACTCTAATAGATTTGTGTAAGAAAAAAAGTGTTATTGTTTTTTTTCTTTAATAAAATGACTGATGAAGTGCTCTAAGATCATTTGCTGATACGTTCTTTGGGCCTGATTTGACTGGAGCACTTTTTCTTACTCTTTTTTGATTGAATATTCACCATTATTAATTGTGGTATTGTGTTTGAACTCTCTGTGTTACCATCACTTCATATTTCTCAGGTATATTTGTGCTAAGGGTGACACAATGACAACTCTTCTTGTCTTGGACACCTGTGTGGGGTCCTAGTAGCATCACTAGAAATGCCCATAGGTTTTGGCCTGATGACTGCGGTTTTTCTTGGGTTAGTGATGACCAAGTAATCTGTACTATATGGGTCATAAACATTATTCATGCAAGCCGTATTTCACTGAAATGGTATGAACTTTGCATATTGATGACTATATGGTTCAAAGTAGAAAATTCAACAGTAGAGAAATTTATTTGTTATGATATATGTTTGTGTACGTACATGTGCTTACATGTAGGAGAAGGAAGGAGGAATGTATCCACAGTGAGCCCCCTCCCCTTCAAAACTAATGTATTTTCCAAAATGACATTGAATACTTTTACCAGTACTTGAGTTAAATATGCTAGCTGTGGTTCAGACTTAAAAGTTAGGAGTCCAGTTCAGCTTTTCAGAAAGACCATCAGTGAAAGAGT